GGTTACTTCGTCATTGGTTCTTAGGTGCATCGAATGGAGCGAAACCCCTGTTTCTAGGAACGTAATAGGTATCTGTTTCATTTTTCTTTTTACTCATTTTTTCTTCTACTAATTTTCTTTTGATTCATTTCTCTTTAACTACCCACCGCTGGAACTGATACGGACGATGTGCATATGCTCTAATTATGGACCCATTTTTTGATTATCAGATCAAATTGAAGTTTGTAAAGAAATGAAAGTAGCATGACCGCCTCTTTAATCCAATCGATTATCGATTGCGAATGTGGTGTGTTTCGAGTTCTTCTCGATCAATTTCGAGTTCTTGCAATTCCATCGAAATATCAGAGATGGTCGACAACATATCAAGTATTTCAAGGACTTATTTGAAGAAAAGAAACTAGAAGATTATTCATGATGATTTGAAGCCTGGAAATGTCCTTTTTGATGAATTCGGTGTTGCAAAAGTAACTGATTTTGGACTTAGTATAATTGTAGAGGATGATGTTGGATCCCAAGGCATGGAGCTTACTTCTTAGGGTGCTGGAACATATTGGTGAGAGCTTTTATTGATTTTATTTGTTGTTATATATTATTATTATTATTATTATTATTATTATTATTATTAAATGGTGAAAATCTGTTGTGCTTTTCCATATTTTGCCCCTTAGTTGATTGGTTGAATTGATAATATTATGAAACTACAAGTGCATTTCTATGGTTTTTTTAACTGGTTTAACATTAGTTGTATATGGAGCATATGTATTTGTTTTTGTTAATATCAAATCGGAAGCTAACAAGAGATTTCATATTGATGACTAATGATTTATTTATTGCATCTCAGGCTAACTCAAAAACATAAGAAACTGCATCAGGTGTAGCAAATAATTAGGATGGTTTTATCTCTACCTGAAAGGTAATATCATGTCTTTTGTAATATTATACAGAAATTAACCCTTGCTTATATTTCTTTGTATTGCGACTTTTGTAGTCTCCAGAGCTGTAAAGATAATCTTGCCACAGGTCAAGTATGTATATTTTTTCTTTTTTAAATAAATATGCTCTAAATATTTTTAACAATCATACAGTAAGAACTAAATACAATATTAATGGTGTTCTTTGTTATCTTAATGATCTTTGTCCCAGTTAGAGCTTGAAGCTACAAAGTCAGAAATTCAAAAGTGGCATTCTACACTTCAGAATGACTCCTACATTACAACAGGTTGTTTTTTGTAACATATTTTTTAGCTACCCTCTTATAAATAAAAAAAAAAGATGAATTATGGTTATTGATGATATTTAACTAATTTATTTATGCAGAACCTAAAAATGTTGTCACTTAACTCTACAATTTAAAATCTTCTGAAGAATTACTTAGAGATTAGGTTAACCAGTAACATCAGTTAACTAATAAACTAACCATGGTTTATGAATTCTAATTCATGTTTTTTTACCATATATTTGTTCAGCTAGAAAAAGCAAAGAAAAAGGAAGTTGCATTTATAGTAACCATTACAATGCGGGAACATGAGATATCAGATTTAAATGTTTTTTTTTTTTTTTGAAAACAATTCATATTCAGTCTGCAGTTTAGGATTTAAGATCACAACTTAAGCCTCCATCAATGCATGTATGTAATTACTTATTCTTCTATCTTCTTGTGGTTATTTTTTAATTTTAGCTATTACTCCTTTTTGGATAGATCTGTGTGTCGATATATGATTGGGATATGGTTCTGTAAGCATTCCTGTTGAAATTGAAGGGCATACTGATGTAGTATGGCATCTCTTGAGTAATTTCGTAGGGAAGGTGTGTAATTTTGTTTTATTTCCTCTTTATATTATCTATTACTCACATTGTACAACAGTTTGACCATTTTGCCCCTATAGGTGCTCAGTAATATTAACATATCAAAATTCTTACAATTGATTCCATTTTCTTTCATTTTTATACACATTTATATTCCAATCACATATTATCTAATACATATTGTCTTTTTATTTCAGCATGGATGACAGTCCATGGGATGAGCGTAACATCATTTTCTTTCCGCTACAATAATTAGAGGATTATTTTAATAAGGCACCAACTGTGAGATTTGTATGTCGTCTGTTCCACCCAAATAGTAAGTACAACCATAACTCTAGCTATAAGAAACAATTTATTAATTTTATGTAGTGTGTTTGGACATCTTGCAAAATCAATGGAGTCCTATCTATGATGTTGCTCCTATTCTCACCTCCAGCTAGGTAACTTTCTATGAATTTTTTTCCTACATTATATTAATGATATACTCATGGGTTGTGTGTATAGAAATGGAAATTGATTTATTAATTTATAGAAAGTAACTTTCTATGAATTTTTTTTTTTCAATTCCCAAATATCAAATGGTTAAAAAGTTGAAATTTTATAATTTTCAAATGAAAAAAATTACCCAAAATATTAGGGTTTTTCTTTCATTTACTCTTTTTTAACTACAATTTGTAAACAGTATGATGTTATTTTATATTATAAAAAGTAAAAAAATAAATAAATAATATTAACAATATAAATTTATCTTTTATTAGTAGATAAAGAAACAAACATACTGATTCCCTACCATGAAACCTCAAACTGAAAGGCAAAAGTTGGGGGCAAAATGATCTTTACAACTTAATGACAAGAGAAGCTGACCTAGCACAAGATATTGGACTAATTCTTTTATAATTTTATTCCATTGTTATTTCTTTCGTTATACATATATTTTAGCAAAAGGGTGATTGAACTTATTCATTGACCGAGGGTTTTAATAGGAATTTAATACATACAGGTAATGAAGTGAGCAAGGCTCTATAGATACAAAGGTTGGTCACACCATCAACATTGAAAAGAAAGAGGGCAAGATTTGCTGACAATAAGAAGAGGATTGGAAAGGCCAAATCGGAGCCTTCAGATTACAATCTATTATTGCATAAACACCTCCGTATGCATGGATACTATTTAAGAGTGTTAGATATTGATGTAACCTTTTATTATGTAAGTGAGTTTTCTGTTCAGTTTTTAGTTGCGATTATATGTCCAACAGTGGATAATATGTTGGATTCTTGAATCTTCTTCAAGAACGAGTCTCATAAACACTTAATCAGAGTCAGCACCAACGATTACTTTTCCACCCCCTTTAACTTTTCTGTTTCCAAACCAAACCGCATTCTATAGTTAACTCTTTGCTAGAAAATTAATATTTTGTACAAAATTCATACTCAAGCCATCACATTCTGCAAACAAATTGTCCATGCAAGAATATCTACATAAGACATACCAAATTACCATGTAATCCTCTCTATCGATAACAAGCACGGAGTTGCCAAAATGATCGGAGTTGTCTAAATCCATCCCCGCAAAGTGGGGCTCATCATCTAGTTAGTTCATTAAGCATGGTTACAAGTTCAATAAAAATAAGAGAGTCAAGGGAAAAAATTATACATATAAACAAAAACACATAGAATAACAAAATGCTGAGTAATATCAAACGTCAAACATGTACTAAGAAACAACTCCACAAAGCTTCAAACTCTCGAATAAAATCCCAAATGGTTAGCAACGAAGTATGACCAGGGTATAAGTTGTTAGCCTTTGATTACCCCCAAGGCAAAGAACAAACAACTTGCCCTATCGAAAATACCCGTTACCCTAATTACCCACCCGATTTTTCGGGTATCGGGTAATTTTTTTCGGGTATAGGGTATGTTTGTTGGGTTTCGGGTATACCCAGTGTTCTAAAAGGCGCGTGCCAAGGCGCGCCATGGCGTGAAGCATTACTTAGTCGTTACGAAAAGCTTCATAACGTTGTTGTTAGGTGTGACGCGTGGCAAGGCGTGCCATGGCGCGTTATGGCGTGTTATGGAACGTGTTTTTTCATTTGAGACACGTTTTTTTGCAATTTTTTTGTCTTTTCTAATCGGTAATACAAGTATTGTGTTTTTTTTGTTAACTTTTTGTTATTAGTTATTAATATAACACTTCCAAAAAGTAGTTATATTTAATATAAATTTATATTTACGTGGTATTATAATTATAAATTAATACAAAATCGCCGTCTTACATCACGCCTTGTAAAACGCCGTGGCTCGCCATGGCTCGTTAAACTTGAGGCTTGACCTTGCCGCCACGCCACACCTCACGTCATTTAGAATCTTAGGTATACCTGAATTACCCGAATTATTTTAAAAATCTTTTTTTTTTCTTTTGTAGAGTTTGTACTCTGTAGCAGGTGTTTGATCCCGTTTAAACTAATTATCATTATTGTAAAATATGAATCTCTTTTATTGTGGAAGTATGACACCAACAATATTAAAAGTATTTGTTTATATGTCGTCATGTTTTTTAAAACTTAATTGTTTTCTAGATTATAGTTTTTAGGGAGAATTTCATATATGTCCTTCTTAAACATCAAAATATCATATTTACCCAACTTCATTTCAAAATATCATAGACGTAAGGATAATATGGTTAAATTTTTTAATTATTATAATAATTCTAAGGTATAAAAAATTATTATAAAATACTAAAAACATTATAAAAAAGGATTTGGGCAAATATAATATTTTGAATGTTTACGAAGGGTAAATATGATATTTTGAAGTTTAAGAGGTGCATATATGAAATTCTCTTTAGTTTTTATTGCAACTAACAAACTCATTATATTGAAGAAACTTCAACATGACAAAACTTATGGCTACAATTTTCTTATGACTAAACTGCACAAAAGGTCCATGTGGTTTGCTCAAAATTGCCACTTTGGTCTAAAAAAGTTTTGACTCACAGGTCCAAAGTTTTCATTTTGTTACGATTTTGGTCCAGTTTGATTTAAAAATATTTAAAATGATAGATTTACCCTTGTTATTTTCTCCGGAGGCTGCTGCCTCCGACCAAGCTATCCAGCCTCTCCCGTCGTGTGTCAACTGAACCCAAACACCCTCTGATCAGGTCGATCTCCGCTGAAACAGTCCCGATCACAAGCAACTATGATTCTTTATTCACCGGAGAAGAAAGGTAGTCTAGCATCTTCCGCTTTGCCTCCTGTTTCGATTCCCAAACAACTCCCTCGTCATTTTCTGCTTCATCCATCTAGTTACAGGTGAGATTTCTATTCCCTCTCGTCGATTTCAGCATATAAACCCACCAAAAACAGCCACCACCCGCCACTGCAAGAATCTTCAGGGTTTAGGACTATGTTCAACAAACAGATAAAAGCAATGAGCCCTACATCTTTCTCCATTAAAGCATTCTACATTCTAGGGTTCAAATTGCCCCGATAAATTTGATTTAGGTGTGATTAGGGCTCGAAAACCCTCAATTGGAGCAACAATGATAGCATACCTGCAACTTGAAATTTAGATGACATGAATAGCGTACATCTCCTCCTAAACCTAATATTGTTGGCGGCTTTAACCTCTCATTGTCATTCTTACGTAGTAGCAGCAGCAACATAACAAAGGTGGTCGATGGTGGTGACCAAGAGCAGCTCTACGGTGGTAGGAGGCTGCCTGGCAGCCTATCGGCTACTTCCTTTTTGCTTATGTCTACAATGATCGTCGGAGGGGAAAAGGGAAGAGGTAAGGAAACATGTTGGAGGGTTGCTTGGGGGTTGTTGTGTCACTGGAAGAATGAGGGATAATGGGTTGTGAATTGGTGGTACACGATGGCAGAAGGTGGCAGTGTGGTGACTAGTGGTGGCTGCCACGTTTTCCTTTGTGTTTCTTGGAAGAAAATAGACGAGAAAAATGATGGAAGGGAGTGAAGAAGGTTTGAGGTATGTTGGTGGAGTGGTTTTCAATCCAATGAGGGAGGTATAAAGGTTGTGTGTGGTGTTGGAGAGAGAGAGAGAGAGAGAGATTTCATTTTTATTTTTTTATTTTGTTATAAAAAATTATAAAATAAAATAGAAAATGAAAATTTTCTTTTTTATTTTTTCTTTTAATCAAAAAAAATATTTAAATAATAAAAAAAAACTGAAGAAAAATATAAGGGCAAAATAGTCAATATGAAAAGGTTTATAGAAAACTGGACTAAACTCGCAATAAAATAAAACTTTGGACTTGTGGCGCTAGTTAAAACTTTTTTGGACCAAAGTGACAATTTGAGCAAACCACAGGGACCATTTGTGCAGTTTTGTCTTTTCTTAAACATTTTAAACTTTTAAACTAAGATCTTCAATTATGGCTACAATTTTCGTAAACATTTTAAACTTATAACTATAATTTTCTTAAGTATTATTGACTAAAAAATCTCAATGTTCAAAGTTTAAGTAACTTCGTTTATGTGTCGTTTGTTTATATAAACAAGACTAATAGAACACAACATATTTATTTCATTAAATTTATTTTCAGGTGCTATTAAAAAAATTAAATATTTCGGGTAATACCCGAATTACCCAAACCCGACCCATTACCTGAATTACCCAAACCCGAATGATCCGAACTTAATTTGGGTCGGGTAATTGGTAATTTTTTTAACATGAAAAACCCGAATTACCCAAAACCTGAATATATTACTCGACCATCATCTCTACAAGGCCAACCAACTAGTAACAGATAATAATAATAATAATAATAATCAGGGCTAAACATAAAAACGTTTTCAACAGGGGGTGATATGTAATTTCTTAAAAAAATACAGCATACCCAACCACAATTGGCAGCTCAGCTCAGAATTATGGTCATAACGATAACGACCTGGAACGATAGTTGCGTTGGGAGCAAGGCAAACTTGTGAAATCGCGGATCAAAAGCACACCGTGCGTGTCGTATAAATATCCAATCATCGCTCATACAAAAGTTATACTTTCCGATCTCGCCACCGCCCACCGCTCAAGAATTTGAATTCCGAATACGGGTATGTTTTCGTCTTCCTTACGTCTATTCAATCTCATCCTTGGTTAAATTTTCTTACAGTTCAAATCGATTCAAAACTAAAACCCTAGTTTTAGTTATTGTCATGTTTATAGGTTTTATCTAGCGTGGTATATATCGTTGAATGGGGGTTCAAGGCGTGGTTTCTACATCTGTTTATCGATTTACAAGGTTTATTGAATTTGATACGTGTTCATTTACCGCGTAATACCTAAGGGCTTTTAAAATTTTGCTTTCTTTACTTGTTTAAATATGTTTTTGGTGGATATAGAGTTTATCGATCTGGAAAGTCGTATATTTACCGTACTACGTGAGGTTGTTATACTTAATTGACTGATTCGAATTGATTTTGGTGATTGTAGGGTTTGTGGAATTGGAAGTGGTTGATTAGAGATGGCACATTTAGGTGGTGGTGCTGAGGCACATGCCCGATTTAAACAGTATGAATACAGAGCCAACTCTAGCCTTGTGTTGACAACGGATTCTCGGTCTCCACAAGATACGCATGAGCCAACTGGGGAGCCTGAGTCTTTGTATGGGAAGATAGATCCCAAGAGTTTTGGTGACCGTGCTTACAGAGGGAGACCTGCAGAGTTGGATGAGACAATCACCAAGTCCAAGAAGAAGAAGGAACGTGAACCATCATCACTTGCTTCTGCTGAAGCTGGGAATAACAGACAGAGCAAGAGGCGGCGTCTTCAAGAAGAGAGTGTCCTTACATCAACAGAGGAAGGGGTTTATCAGCCAAAGACGAAAGAAACTCGAGCTGCATATGAGGCAATTCTTAGTGTCATACAGACCCAATTGGGTGGTCAGCCTTTGAATATTGTCAGTGGTGCTGCAGATGAGATATTGGCTGTGCTGAAGAATGATACTTTGAAGAACCCGGACAAGAAGAAGGATATTGAGAAATTGCTAAACCCTATACCGAGCCAGGTGTTTGACCAGTTAGTCTCTATTGGGAGGCTTATAACAGATTTTCAAGATGCAGGCGGTGATGCTGCTGGTTCTAATGCTGCAAATGGTGAAGATGCTCTTGATGATGATGTTGGTGTAGCTGTTGAATTTGAAGAGAATGAAGAGGATGATGAAGAGAATGATCTTGATATTGTACAGGAAGATGACGACAAGGAAGAAGATGATGTTTTGGACAGAGATGGGAACAATGCTATGCAAATGGGTGGGGGTATGGATGATGACGACTCACAAGATGCTAATGAGGGTATGACACTTAATGTACAGGACATTGATGCTTATTGGCTTCAGAGGAAGATCTCCCAGGCTTATGAGCAGCAGATTGATCCACAGCAAAGCCAGAAGCTTGCTGAAGAGGTACTGAAGATTCTTGAAGAAGGTGATGACCGTGAAGTCGAAACGAAGCTATTGGTGCATCTTCAGTTTGATAAGTTCAGTCAGATAAAGTACCTTTTGAGGAACAGACTGAAGATTGTGTGGTGTAGCCGTCTTGCAAGGGCTGAAGATCAAGAACAAAGGAAGCAAATTGAAGAACAAATGATGGGACTGGGGCCTGATTTGGCTGCAATATTGGAACAACTGCATGCCACAAGGGCAACAGCAAAAGAGAGGCAGAAGAACTTGGAGAAAAGCATAAGAGAAGAAGCAAGGCGGTTGAAGGATGAGAGTGGTGGTGGAAACGGGGATCGTGGTCGAAGGGATGTTGTTGACAGGGATCCTGAGAACGGTTGGTTAAATGGTCAAAGACAGTTGCTTGATCTTGAGAGCATTGCGTTTCAGGAAGGTGGACTTTTGATGGCAAATAAGAAGTGTGAGCTTCCTTTAGGCTCTTACAGAAATCACAGCAAGGGGTACGAAGAGGTTCATGTGCCAGCATTGAAGCCCAAACCACTTGCTCCTGATGAGAAGCTTGTAAAGATCTCAACCATGCCAAGCTGGGCACAACCAGCTTTTGAGGGGATGAATCAGTTAAATAGGGTTCAGAGTAAAGTTTATGAGACTGCTCTGTTCAAAGCAGACAATCTTTTGCTCTGTGCCCCCACTGGAGCAGGGAAGACCAATGTTGCTATGCTCACGATTCTGCAGCAGATAGGTTTACATATGAATGAGGATGGTACGTTCAACCGCAGTGACTACAAGATTGTCTATGTGGCACCAATGAAAGCCCTTGTTGCTGAAATCGTTGGTAATCTATCTAATCGTTTAGAGCCGCACTATGGCATCATTGTGAAGGAGTTGAGTGGAGATCAATCTTTGACCTGTCAACAGATTGAGGAAACACAAATCATTGTCACCACACCAGAAAAGTGGGATATTATAACAAGAAAATCAGAAGGCCGCACTTATACTCATCTTGTGAAACTTCTAATTATTGATGAAATTCATCTTCTGCATGATAACAGAGGACCTGTTCTGGAGAGTATTGTGGCAAGAACTGTTAGACAAATTGAGACCACAAAGGAACATATTCGGTTGGTTGGGCTATCTGCAACACTTCCCAATTATGATGATGTTGCATTATTTATGCGAGTTGACTTGGAGAAAGGCCTGTTTCATTTTGACAATAGTTACAGACCTTGCCCACTTGCTCAACAGTATATTGGAATCACAGTAAAAAAGCCATTGCAGAGATTTCAGTTGATGAATGATATTTGTTATAAAAAGGTGATTGGAGTGGCTGGAAAGCATCAGGTGCTTATATTTGTGCATTCAAGGAAAGAGACAACAAAGACTGCACGTGCAATTAGAGACACTGCTCTTGCCAATGACACCCTGGGGATCTTTTTGAAAGAGGATAGTGCAAGTCGTGAGATACTGCGTGATCATACTGAGCTGGTGAAAAGCAATGATCTGAAGGATCTATTGCCCTATGGTCTTGCAATTCATACTGCAGGAATGGCCAGGGCTGATCGTGATCTTGTTGAGGTATTATTTGCTCATGGGCACATTCAAGTACTGGTTTCAACAGCTACTCTTGCATGGGGCGTGAACTTGCCTGCCCACACTGTGATTATTAAAGGAACCCAGATTTATAACCCAGAAAAAGGAGCCTGGGCAGAGCTTAGTCCTCTGGATGTGATGCAGATGTTGGGTCGTGCAGGGAGACCACAGTTTGATACTTATGGTGAAGGTATTGTTATTACTGGACACAGTGAGATGCAATACTATCTTTCACTGATGAATCAACAGCTTCCTATTGAAAGTCAGTTTGTAGCCAAGTTGGCTGATCAGTTGAATGCAGAAATAGTCCTTGGAACCGTGCAGAATGCAAAAGAAGCCCTCAATTGGCTTCGCCATACTTATTTATATGTTCGCATGATGGGCAACCCTACACTCTATGGTTTATCAGCAGATGCTCTGACAAGAGATCCTTTACTTCTGGATAGGAGATCTGATCTGGTAGGTTTTATACCCCATATTAATATTTCTTCTGCCACAATACTGGATAAAAATAATGGATATTTTTGTTTCTTGCAGGTTCATTCTGCTGCCACAATACTGGATAAAAACAATCTGGTGAAGTATGATAGAAAAAGTGGATATTTTCTGGCTACTGATTTGGGTCGAATTGCAAGTTATTATTACATAACTCATGGAACTGTTGCCACTTACAATGAGTATTTGAAGCCTACCATGAGTGACATTGAGCTTTGTAGATTGTTTTCACTAAGCGAGGAGTTTAAATACGTAATAGTAAGACAGGATGAGAAAATGGAACTTGCAAAGCTTTTGGACCGTGTTCCTAATCCTATCAAGGAAAGTTTAGAAGAGCCCAGTGCAAAGATCAATGTCTTACTCCAGGCTTATATTTCTCAGTTAAAGCTTGAAGGACTTTCTTTGACATCTGACATGGTGTTCATAACTCAGGTTAGTTTTATCGCTTACATATTTATCAATGTTTCTTCCTTTTTACTCTTACGATAATTCTTTTCTAACTTGAGTTAATTTTTGGTTTTCAGAGCGCAGGACGTCTTATGCGTGCTCTTTTTGAGATTGTATTGAAAAGAGGGTGGGCCCAGTTAGCTGAGAAAGCCTTGAACTTGTGCAAAATGATTAACAAGAGGATCTGGAGCGTACAAACCCCTCTACGCCAATTTCACGAGATTAAAAGTGACATTCTGATGAAACTGGAGAAGAAGGATCTGGCATGGGAAAGATATTATGATCTGTCATCACAGGAGCTGGGAGAGCTTGTTCGAGCCCCTAAATTGGGGAGAAATCTTCACAAGTGCATTCACCAATTCCCAAAACTTAATCTTGCAGCACATGTTCAACCAATCACCCGCACCATCTTGAGGGTGGAACTCACTATCACTCCAGATTTTCAGTGGGAAGACAGGATTCATGGGTATGTTGAGCCGTTTTGGGTGATTGTAGAAGATAATGATGGGGAATACATACTCCATAACGAGTATTTCTTGTTGAAGAAACAATACATTGATGAGGATCACACCTTGAGTTTCACAGTCCCGATTTATGAACCTTTGCCACCTCAGTACTTCATTAAGGTTGTCTCGGACAGATGGCTTGGATCCCTGTCTGTTTTGCCCGTTTCTTTCCGCCATCTAATCTTACCGGAAAAGTACCCTCCACCAACAGAGCTGCTAGACTTGCATCCACTCCCTGTGACTGCTTTGAGAAATCCATTATACGAAGCACTTTATCAAGAATTTAAACACTTTAACCCTGTCCAAACTCAAGTCTTCACAGTACTTTACAACACTGATGATAATGTGCTAGTTGCTGCGCCAACTGGCAGCGGGAAGACCATATGTGCAGAGTTTGCAGTTTTAAGGAACCATCAGAAAGTTTCAGAGGGTGTCATGCGTGCTGTTTACATTGCTCCTGTCGAAGCACTTGCCAAGGAGCGTTATAACGAATGGAAAAAGAAATTCGGAGATGGACTTGGGCTGAGGGTGTGTGAGTTGACTGGGGAAACAGCCACAGATTTGAAGCTTCTTGAAAAAGGGCAGGTGATAATCAGCACTCCTGATAGATGGGATGCTTTGTCTCGTAGATGGAAGCAGCGAAAGCATATTCAGCAAGTAAGTCTTTTTATTGTTGATGAGTTGCATTTGATTGGGGGTCAAGATGGGCAAGTGTTGGAGGTGATTGTCTCTAGGATGAGATACATTGCTAGTCAGGGTCATAACATTCGGATAGTGGCACTATCCACTTCACTTGCTAATGCCAAAGATTTAGGGGAATGGATTGGGGCCACATCACATGGTCTTTTCAATTTCCCACCAGGTATTAGGCCTGTACCTTTGGAAATCCATATTCAAGGGATAGACATAGCTAATTTTGAAGCCAGAATGCAAGCCATGAGCAAACCTACCTACACTGCTATTGTCCAACATGCCAAGAATGGAAAACCAGCCATCGTCTTTGTTCCCACAAGGAAACACGTTCGGTTAACAGCTGTGGATCTGGTGACATACTCGAGTGCTGAAAGTACATTCAAAAATGGAGAGAAGCCTTTGTTCTTACTTCAATCTGAAAATGAGATAAGCCCATTTATCGAGAGAATTAAAGAACCCATGTTGAAGGAAACTCTGGTATATGGTGTTGGATATCTGCATGAGGGTCTAACAACAACTGACCAAGATATAGTCAGGACACTGTTTGAAACTGGTTGTATTCAGGTATGTGTGATGAGTGGTACCATGTGTTGGGGGGTTTCTCTTCGTGCACATTTGGTGGTTGTTATGGGAACGCAGTACTATGATGGAAGGGAAAACGCACACACTGATTATCCAGTTACGGATCTTCTTCAGATGATGGGCCATGCAAGTCGGCCTCTTGTGGATAATTCTGGAAAATGTGTCATCTTTTGTCATGCACCACGTAAGGAATACTACAAGAAGTTCTTATTTGAAGCATTCCCAGTTGAAAGCCATCTGCATCACCACCTACATGATAACTTGAATGCTGAGGTGGTTGTTGAAGTGATTGCCAACAAGCAAGATGCTGTTGATTATCTGACCTGGACATTCATGTACAGGAGGCTAACACAGAACCCAAATTACTACAATCTTCAAGGTGTGAGTCAAAGGCATCTCTCGGATCACCTGTCTGAGCTTGTGGAGAACACTTTAAGCGATTTGGAAGCTAGCGATTGTGTTACAATAGATGGTGTTTTTTATCTTTCCCCTAACAATCCAGGTATGATTGCTTGTTATTATTACATCAGTTACACAACAATAGAACGTTTCAGTTCTTCTTTGACCACAAAGACAAAGCTGAAGGGCTTTTTAGAGATTCTGGCTTCTGCTTCAGAGTATGAACAACTTCCGGTACGCCCTGGAGAAGAGGAATTGATACGCAGGTTGATCCATCATCAGAGGTTTTCTTTTGAGAACCCGAAATACGCGGACCCACACGTGAAGGCGAATGCACTGCTTCAAGCTCACTTTGCTAGACAAACGGTTGGTGGGAATCTGGGTTCTGACCAGCAAGAAGTGGTGCTATCTGCAAGCAGGTTGCTTCAGGCCATGGTTGATGTTATTTCAAGCAACGGATGGCTTAGCTTGGCTCTTCTGGCCATGGAAGTGAGCCAGATGGTGACACAAGGCATGTGGGAGAGAGACTCTGTTCTGTTACAGCTGCCTCATTTTACAAAAGATCTCGCCAAGAGATGCCAAGAAAACCCTGGAAGGAGCATCGAGACTGTGTTTGACTTGGTGGAAATGGAGGACGATGAGAGAAGGGAGCTCTTACAGATGTCGGATCCTCAGCTCATGGATATCGCAAAGTTCTGCAACCGTTTTCCTAATATTGATTTGTCGTATGATGTGGTGGATGGTGACAACATTAGGGCTGGAGAGGAGTTCACTATGGTGGTGACTCTTGAAAGGGATTTGGAGGGTAGGACCGAGGTGGGACCGGTGGATGCCCCGAGGTATCCGAAAGGGAAAGAGGAGGGGTGGTGGTTGGTGGTTGGTGACACAAAGAGCAACCAGTTGCTTGCAATCAAGAGGGTTTCGTTGCAGAGGAAGGCCAAGGTGAAGCTTGATAACATCACTGCCCCGAGTGATGCTTTAGGGAAGAAGAGCTTTACTCTGTATTTCATGTGCGACTCTTACATGGGATGCGATCAGGAGTATACCTTTTCTGTTGATGTCAAAGCAGGAAGAGGTTCAGATGATTGACAGTGGAAGAGAATGATATGACATGATTTGTAAGTTTTTTGCAGTTTGATGTTATTGTTTTAGATGAAGTGTTGTTGGATTACTGAAAGTGGTTTTGTTTTGGAAATGTGCAGTGATTTGGTTGTCTGGTTTCCTCTGTTTGTTAGAAGTCTGGTGAAATAGTACTGAGGGGGTGATTGGGATTTTGCTTATTTAAAACAACTTAATGCTTTTTTTTTTTTTTTTTTTTTAAAAGTGCTTATTTGCTTATCTGGTGTCAGAAAGGAGTTTTTTAAACGGTGTTTGGATTAGTTGAAAAGGTATTTTTTTTAGTGTAAGGTAAATTCTGATTATATGTGTAAGTAACCAACAAAAACTTGTTTTAATTTATCCAAACACTTGAAAAGAAACTGCAATAAGGCAGTAAGCGCAAAATCCCAAACACCCCACCCCCTGAATCAGCAACAGGTACTTTCTCCCTTATTTTGGTAGTGGGTGATATCATAATGTTGTATCTGGATAAGCATAACGTTTGATATACCCTTTAAGTATTTTAAAATTTGTGAAGAAGATGATGATGATGATGTTAAATTGTAAAAAATGAAATGAGGATGACATGTTTCAGGTGCCTAGATTACCAGATGTAGACTTGCAGACCCCCAAAGAACCACAATCAGGTTCGTATAAAAAGGCATTTTGACACCTTACCAAAGTGAGGCGTGAGGCTTTTTTTTTTTTTTTTTTACTTTGACTAATTTATTTACTAGATGAGTATATGGGCTAACTTAACTGTACACGTAAATTAAAAGACTTGATAAGCCTTTGTGACCTGATCAGTCTTCGGTTTCATCTCTTTTCTCTTAACCATCACACCCTCTAACATATATGTTCCTGGGTTCAGAAGTGAAAGAAATTGAGAAGAAAGAGGGGAAGGAAAATCATGCGCCCTCATTTTTGTGAAAGAAGTGGCAAGAAAAAGAAAAACTTTCCTCCTAAAATGGAGGGATTTGGAGAGAATAAAAAATTGGCTACTGATATTACCAAATTACCCTCAGCCTATTAATTACATAAACATCAAAAGTAGTTTAGTATATTCATTTGCATTCAGAAGGTAAAAAATCTGGTTCTTCGTCACTATTGCTCTAAGCCAACAAACAGCCTGCGTCCTCTTTGTCCCTCCCTGCCAGGTATGTTGTACTTGTTGTTTTTCCTTCTTTGTTGCAGTTAAAAAAAAAAAAAAAAACCAATATTGTAAGAGAGGTCTTGGTTTTTACAATGCTTTATTTGGTCAACTGTGCAGAAACTGTCTTTAATGTTTCCTTTCCTTTAACTTTTGGTCCATCTGATTAAAGCTTTTTGAGCCTTGAGTAGCCTAACAACGATTGATTGATATATCATATCAATTTACATGATGACTGTTGATCAATCGATTGATTGATATGAAAATTTTGTATTAAATAGATTTTACTGTCTGGAAAGCACTGCACTGATTAAATGAATGGATATGATATATCATGTTTGTTAAATGCAGTGGCTTGTAACCAAAAAATGTTTGGCTTCCCTATTTAAAAGGAAAAGGATATCAATCATGTTTGTTGTTGCTATATTAACCCATAAGGATAAGGAAGTTGCTTCTGCTGGTTTTAGTGTCAAGATACAATGCTAACTGCTGGTGGCCTGGTCTTCGGTCACTGCTGTTATTTTCCCAACCCCCAAATGATTTGGAAAAATTTGTCAAATAACCAAAAAATGAGGTGGGCTTGAAAAATGGTTTTTCATAAAATAACCGAGGTTTCCGTGAGGAATTGGACACTTGTGCAAAAAGACAAAAACTGACATCTGACGGGCAGTTCTGCAGAGCAGGTTTCTGCAGAAATGGTATGGCCTCTGCGGAAATGGTGTCCTTAGACGTTAGTTTTTGTCTTTTTGCACAAATGTCCAATTCCTCAGAGCGCTTCTCTGCAAAAACCTTGGTCATTTTATAAACATCTGATTTTCATGGTCATATTTTTCAACCCCACCTCATTTCTTGGTTATTTGACAAAATTTCCCAATTGATTTTAATTGATTTTTCAGGCATTTGGTGTCATGTATGATTAACCAACCTTTCTCTTGTTTTTAGGAACCCATTTTGCACGTTGAAGTTGAAGAGGGGTTTATGTTTATTTCAATGTTGTGAAAATCGCTCGGCAGCCGACTGACGTTAAGCGATTAATTGAACTCGACGGGGATTAATCGAAGACCCTAAATTATACTTTTAACTCTCAATAAGGCAACAATCAGTTTATCACATTAGAGAAATAATTCCAGGGTTTCTTTTTAACTTGTACACAAATGAAGATAAGTTGTTGGATGAATATCTTTGAATAATTGTGGATGAATTTGTTGACTGCATTGGATTACATATTGCAGAGTATTGTCTGTCATTTGATAACGGAGTTCCACCATTATGTTCATTGCTAAAAAAAAGCTTAAAAGAAAAATTATTAATTGTTATTGATATAATTATTTTAATGTAAAAAGAATATTGCGCATCTAAAAAGAAAAAAAATATGCATACCATTTGATATAGTCGATAGTGGAGTCCTATAATCGATATTTGAAGGAGATTGGAAGCTTGGAGAGTTATATTAACAAGAAACGCATCACCCAAATCCAAAAGGATGGAGTCTTGGAATCATTTGATCTAAAGCCAAATGATGAATGTGAATATTGTCTTTTGGTAAAAATAACAAAATCACATTTCACTAGATCTTATGAAAGAGATGAAGGTTTGTTGGATCTCATACACACAGATGTATGTGGACCTTTCAGATCTAGCACAAGAGATGCTAATTGATTTTATATTACATTTATAGATGATTATAGTAGGTATGGCTATATCTACTTGATCAAACATAAATAAAAAAAACCTTTGAAAAGTTCAAAGAGTTTAAGCATGTAGTCGAGAATCAATTAGGCAGAAAGATAAAGATGCTCCGATCTGATAGAGGAGGAGAGTATCCTAGTATCGAGTTCCATGGGTACGTCAAGGAATGTGTAATAGTTTCACAATTGACTCCTCTTAGGACACCACAACTTAATGGTTTAGCTGAGAGGCGCAATCGAACCTTGTTGGACATGGTTTGTTCCATGATAAGTCGAGACACTCTTCCCATTTCCTTCTAGGGTATACCTTAGGGACAGCCGCTCATATCCTCAACCTTGTCCCTACTAAAAAGGTTGCCAAAACACCTCACAAAATGTGGACAGGGAAAGTTCCCTCATTAGCACACATCAAAGTCTGGGGTTATGAAGCTTTCATTAGACGAGAGATTCATGACAAACTACAAGCTAGAAGTGAGAGATATATTTTCATTGGCTACCCACAAAAGTCTTTTGGATATTTGTTCTACAGGCCTAGTGAAAATGTGGTGTTTGTAGCACGAAGAGGAGTCTTTCGCGAGAGAGAGAGCTTATATGCAAAGAGGACAATATGAACACAATTGACCTTGAAGAGATTCAAGAGTCAACCAATGAAGAAACCTTAGAAGGCACTAGCACTCAACCAAAGGAAGAAATTCCAGTTGATCCAGTTGACAATCCGTTAGCTCTTCGTCGTTCCAATAGAGTTACCATGCCACCTGTGTTTTATGGTTATAACTTTGGATGGTGATACATTTATTAGTGATCAAACACTAATAAATTTGGATAAGCCAGCTAACTACAAGGAAGCAATGGCAGGCCTTGAGGCAGCCAAGTGAAAGAGGAATGGATAATAAGATCAAATCCATGTATGACAACCAAGTTTGGAATTTGGTTGATCAACAACCTAGTTGAAAGATAGTTGGGTGCAAGTGGATCTTCAAGAATAAGATCGACATGGATGGAATTTTGCACACATTCAAGGCACAACTGGTTGCGAAGGCCTTTACTCAAACCTAAGGGGTTGACTATGATGAGACCTTCTCGCCAAAGGCTAAGATTAAATCTATTAGGATAATGCTTGCCATAGTTGCCTTTAATGATTATGAAATATGGCAGATGAATGTCAAAACCGGTTTCTTTAATGGGAAGTTGGTTGAAGATGTTTACATGATTTAACCAGAGGGTTTTGTTGATGCAAAGTTTCCCAATAGAACGTGTAAGCTTGAGAAATCCATATATGGATTGAAACAAGGATCTCGCAGCTGGAATATTTGCTTCCATGAAAAGGTCAAGGAGTTTGGTTTTTTCTAAGAGTGAGGATGAGTAATGTGTGTATGTCAAAGTGAGAGGGAGTATAGTAACTTTTCTAGTATTGTATGTTGATGACATTCTACTCATGGGGAACAACATTCCAACCTTTCATGAAGTGAAATCTTGGCTTGGAAAGTGTTTCTCTATGAAGGATCTAGGAGAGGTAGCTTATATTTTTGAGATTAGAATTTTGAGAGATAGAAAGAACAGGCTAATTGGACTTAGTCAAAGTACATACTTGAACAAGGTACTAAAATGGTTTAGTATGGAAAATTCCAAGAAAAGAGAGCTACATATTCAGAGCAATGCCAAATTGATTAAGACTCAAAGTCCAAGTACGGATGAAGAGATAGTTGATATGAGTCGAGTCTATTATGTTTCAGTTCTAGGATCGATCATGTATGCTATGGCATGTACTCGTCTTGATGTGTCCTTTGCTTTAAGCATGGTCAGTTGCTATCAGGGAAATCCTGGTAGAACTCATTGGACAACAGTTAAGAACACGCTCAAGTATTTGCAAAGGACGAAGGACATGGTTCAAGTCCTTGGTGGGAGTGATACATTGAGAGTGACTGAGTATAGTGACACCATCTTTCAAACATATAGAGATAACTTTCGTTCACAATTTGGCTGGGTATTTACATTAAATGGAGGAACAGTTACTTGGAAAAGTTCCAAGCATGACACAGTGGTTGATTCTACCTGTGAATCAGAGTACATAGCAGCAAATGAAGCATCAAAGGAAGCAGCATGGTTGAATAACTTCATCGAATATCTTGGAGTTGTTCCAACCATTCAGGAAC